GTAAATATCAAAAAGATTTTGTAGGAGTAATGTCTGCTGAAATTTCAGCTTTGCATTACAGAAATAAATTATATTTAAAAATATATTAACATAGAAAACAGTTGTTATAAATTGTAATAATATTTCACAATTTGCACTGTATTTTTGATCAAATAAATGCAGCCTTGGTGAGCAGAAGAGACTTCTTTCAAAAACATAAACACATCTTACCCACCTCAACATTTTGAACAGTATTGTAAATCCCAGTGTACTAGTCTTAAAGGAACACTCCACTATTTTTGAAAATAGGCTCATTTTCCAACTCCCCTAGAGTTAAACAGTTGCGTTTTACCGTTTTCGAATCCATTCAGCCGGTCTCCGGGTCTGGCGGTAGCACGTTTAGCTGTAGCTTAGCATAGATCATTGAATCTGATTAGACATCTATGCTAAGCTACAGCTAAACGTGCTACCTCCAGACCCGGAGATCGGCTGAATGGATTCGAAAACGGTAAAACGCAACTGTTTAACTCTAGGGGAGTTGGAAAATGAGCCTATTTTCAAAAATAGTGCAGTGTTCCTTTAAAGTTTGGTTATCAGAAAGTGGACATGCATGTAAATTGAAAAAGCACGCTTTGTGTTTTATGTGACGTTGCTGTGTGTTTCTGCAGGCCTCGACTAAAGAGAGCAGCTCGGAGGAGCGTTTGACTCCGGTGGCTTTGGCTCAGCAGGCGGCGCAGCTCAAACAGCAGCTGGTTTCAGCTCATCTGGACTCTCTGCTCGGACCCAACGCTCACATCAACCTCACCGACCCCGACGGAGCGCTCGCCAAGTGAGATCCATTTAGACTTCCTGAGCTACAAATACAGCACAGGACATGATGCATCTGCTCTCTGATGGGTGTGAAGTCCTGTCAGCTGTGCTTTTTAGTTTTTATCATATTTAGTCAACTTTGTCCTGTTTTTGTTTAGTCAAGTTTTAGTCGTCTAGTCTAGATTTAGTCAATGAAGCTTTTCACATTTTTGACATGCTGTGTAATGGTTAAACTGATAATCGCAATGATAATGTATTTTTACATTTCATTAGAAGTATTGCACTTTCTCCAATAAGCACAAATCAATAGAATGTGGACTCATACACATGGTTTATTTGACCTCATCTAGTGTGCTGATTTATTATAGAAATTCATATCAAAGACTTAGATATGCAGTCTCTCTGTCTACATTATGAAAGCTGGTAAAACAAACAAAAAAAGTACTATAACAGTGAAATTCCTAATAGTAATTCCAAGTTGCGATAATGTTTCTCTATTAAAAGAACAGCAAAAAAGACTTTCTAGTGCCACACAGAGGTTGTGTAAGTGTATGTATTCAGCAACCACAATCGTAAACAATATAGTAGTTTTCAGATCATTGCAGGCGCTGTAGAGCGAGTGTGTGGTTGCCAGATTGCAAAAGTTAAGTTAAACACCAGGCAGCAAAGGTATGCTTTTAACAGAGAAGCTCTGATTGGGGGATTTGAACTCTTGATATCTGGCAACCGCAGACATGAAAGCTGGCGCATGTACAGCAGTCGGTAATGTTCATCAAAAATAAAAAAAGATTTTGGTAAAGTTTTTTTTTTTTAATACATCTCGTCTTTTTTTTGTCAATAATATTGCATGTTGATATAGTCACCGTTATCTTTTAATGACCCTTTCATCGTCTCGTCATTAGCTATGTTTCCATCACCCTATTTTAATGTGCATTTTGAACTATCGCATGAGAAACGCCAAATTTCGAATAAAAATCCCTTAATTCGCAAAAAAGTTTTTACACTCGCTTGAGGTGGTTTTTGGCCCCTTTCATCGTCTCGTCATTAGCTATGTTTCCATCACCCTATTTTAATGTGCATTTTGAACTATCGCATGAGAAACGCCAAATTTCGAATAAAAATCCCTTAATTCGCAAAAAAGTTTTTACACTCGCTTAAAGTCATGTGACTTTGCGCTATGGGACATCAAAACCTGACTAACCAGCGGACCGATCTCATTCCACAGCATCTGAAATGTTGTTATGGTCATTCAGAAATGCACAAGCAAAGTCTGTCGTCAAAGTATTTCTGTATAATTGTCTCACACGACTGCGTTCCCAAACAGCATCATCCACCTCGCCAGTTATTTATTATATATGAAAGTTATTATATTCTCCTACTTTTCTTAGTGATTTATAGTGCCAGTTTATCAGGAAGTGACGGTTTTGTTCTCTTTGACCTGTTGGATGGAAACGATGCTTGTTCGCAAATGTTTTATGCGATATTCCAGTTTTGCATTGTTAAATTTGCAACTTTGGATGGAAACCCGGCTATTGTCTCGTTTGCCGACGTGTCTGTCCTGTGTGTTCTGTGGGCCGCAGGCGGTTGTTGACTCAGCTGGAGGTGGCTCGGGGCGTGAGGGGCGGCGCGGGTGCAGAAGGCAAGACAGCGGCACCCAAAGGACCGGACGGAGTGATTCTCTACGAGCTCCACAGCCGACCGGAGCAAGAGAAGTTCACCGAGTCTGCTAAAGTACGGCCCTTGTGAACCCCCCAGTGTGATGTCACTTCCTGTGGTTGTTTCTGACGCAGGCGTTCTCTGTGACTGTAGGTCGCCGAGCTGGAGAGACGGCTGGCTGAACTGGAGATGGCTGTGGGATCCGGCTCAGAGAAACAGGTGCGTGAGACATGTTTGCCATGTGCTCGATGCTTTCTATAAATTAGAAATTATAATTAAATCCTAATCTAATCATGACAAACTATATGTTGTTGGAAAGGTCTAAGACTCCTAAATAGATATTTTACCACTGTTTGTTGTTAAAAATTATGTAGGAACAGTAATAGATTAATTTATGACAAGAGTGCACCTCAAAACATATACATCGTAACAGGAGTTTTGACCTTTGTCACAAAAATGTGACAAAAATGTGACAAAATGCTTCCTTTTTTCCTATCACGTTTTAGTAATCATCATAAATTATATATCATTTGAAAGCTTAAAACCTCCAAAATTCATCCTGTGAAAACCGTTTTGAAATCGGACACTGCGTTACCATGGAAATCGTACTTTAAAATCTTTTAGCGGGCTCCTCCTCCTTAGTTGGAGGTGTCATATTCCAAATGTATTACGGTCTTTTAGAATCAAAACTTTTCATAATCTTGACAAAATACATATTGGTGGAAAGGTCTGAGTCTCAAGATTCCATATTTGGTGGTTATTTTGTCATAGAAGTAATATTGAAAGAGAAATTGATACATTTGTGACTGAAAAAGTGGCAACCTCCATTTTTTTTAGTATCAACTTCAAATTTGGAAAACAGCTTATTTAGACATATGGCTTTAATTTTATAGCAATTTTAGATTAAAACATATTTTATAAAATATTTATTTTATATAAAATAAAATTTCTTTACAGTAAATTTTAACTTCTATAACTTTTTTATGCTTTCAATTCTTGAAATGATTTCACTTCTGCAATAATCTGCAGAAATCCGAAGGTCTGTATTCAGAAGCGTTTATGAATTATAACAATTTACGTTTGAATAGTGCACTTTCACGTCTATGTTCAAAATGTTTTCCTCCATATTCTCACTCTATCAGACTATATGAGCTATAAAAGCCTGATGCATCAAATATGATACTCGAACACATTTTGTTTTTAGAAAAAAAAAAAAAAAGTTGAATAAACTGTTCCATTAAAAAAAAAAAAAAAAAGATTTTTCAGACTGTTATTAAATCTGTCACTGATCTGTGTGTGTGTGTGTGTCTCTCTCTCTGTGTGTGTGTCTGTGTCTCTGTGTCTGTGTGTGTGTGTGTGTGTCGTAGGGTCCGCTCAGCGCCGGGGTTCAGGGAGGCAGTCTGATGGTAAACACACACTATATCATCACTATAACAGCACCATCATTATCACAGAGATGCATTCATAAAATAAAAGAGATTTTAACATTTTTGACATGCAGTCACCATCGCAGATCCGTTAAATAAATGTACCTCGAGACGGCTTGCATCGCTCGCTGTGAAGTGAATGAGTTTGGTCATGTGTCTGCAGGACACTATAGAGCTGCTGCAGGCGCGGGTCGGTGCGCTGGATGCGGTCACGCTGGATCAGGTGGAAGCCAGACTACAGGTGAAGCCGCGAGGAGACCAGCGTTTCATCCGTGTCAGACGCACACTGAAACACATGCCATTAAATCACGCACCACTTCATCATGTCCCTAGTTTTGAGAAAATGTGCCTTTATGAATTTTACAACATCTGAACTAATAGAAAACTGAACTAAAAACTTTTTATGTTTTGCTTAATTTTGTGCATGATGTTTATAATAATAATAATAAGTATTATTGTAATAATAATAATAATAATTATTATTATTGTATATATATATTTTTTAATGATCTGATGTTCTGTAGCATCAAAGGATGTAATATTATGAATCCCCCATAATAATAATAATAATATTGTAATAATAATAATTATTATTATTGTGTATATATACATTTTAAATTATCTGATGTTCTGTACATTTATTTTAATTAATTTAAATTATTAATCCCTCAAATAACAATAATAATAATAATTTGATTATTATTATTAATCCCCCTCTGATGATAATAATAATGTTATTTATTTGTGTTTTTCCAGTGCTGTGTTTGAATGGAGCTGTTGTTGTCTGGTTTCTGCAGAGCGTTCTGGGGAAGATGAATGAAATCGCCAAGCACAAGGCAGCCATCGAGGACGCTGAGACCCAGAACAAGGTGCGTCCCGCAGGCCTTCAGCAGCGCTCCGGCGCTCACTGACGCGCTCTGATCTGTGTGCTGTGTGTGCAGGTGTCTCAGCTGTATGACGTGGTGCAGAAGTGGGATGCGATGGCCTCGTGTCTCCCGCAGCTGCTGCAGAGACTGCTGGCCGTCAGAGAGCTGCACGAGCAGGGTCTGATCTCCTTTCATCCGGCACTCATTCTCTCTCGCTTCACTCCAGGGTTTGCTTTGGGATTTAAATCCCTGTTTAACTGGCCTGAAAATCAACAGATGCAAGATTATTTTAATGGTTCTAAAATAAGACTTCATGTGCTTTCTGCAAAAAAAAAAATAATAATAATAATTTTCTTATCCAAAATACTACTACTACTACTAATTATTATTATTTATTCCAAAAATAATATTTGTTATGCTATAAATGCAGTAATATTAACATAATATTATTATTAATTCTCAAAAATAATATTAGTAATAATATATTATTAATATTTATTTCTTTCTTTACAGTTTTGAGATTCACTTAAAATAATTTATCATAGAGATATAGTTAGTATTTATGTGGCTGTTTGTTGTGTGTTATGATATGCTGTGTTTCTGTGATTTTTGCGCTCTGTTGTGACGCAGCGATGCAGTTCGGGCAGCTGCTGACTCATCTGGACACCACACAGCAGATGATCAACAGCTCTCTGAAGGACAACAGCTCTCTGCTCTCGCAGGTCTGTCCTCCGTCTCTCTGAAACACCAGCGTCTGCGAAACGCCGCACGCATTAAACCTGCTGCTCTTCACTCGCAGGTCCAGCAGACCATGAAGGAGAACCTGCTGGCTGTGGAGGAGAACTTCTCCGCGCTGGACCAGAGGATGAAGAAACTCTCCAACTAAAAGCCATCGCTCTTTCAGCTCTGTTTCTCGTGCCGCACTTTTGTGTTTCTGCAGAGCGTCGAGACCAAACACTACAGAAGCTCCTGAAGCAAGAAGAAGCTCCAAAGTCTGAAGTTCTGATTTTACGCCCTTTCCATCCTGATCCACACGGACTTTGTTTAGAAGGCGAGGCGACGCTGTGTGTGTAAATACAGGCTTGTCTGTGAGCGATCGCTTGTAACCGTTATTGTATTATTAATGTGTGGCGCAGTCCACAAATTAGGATCATTTTCCAATATAGAATTTCAAAAAATAGATTTTATATTTTTGTGGCTTTATATATTTTTTACATATTTGTAGAATTTTCTGGTAAATTTTTAATTTTTGTAGAATATTTTGGTAAATTTTTAATTTTTGTAGAATTTTTTTATATTTTAGTGGCTTTATATATTTTTACATATTTGTAGAATTTTTTGGTAAATTTTTAATTTTTGTAGAATTTTTTTATAGATTTTATATTTTTGTGGCTTTATATATTTTTTACATATTTGTAGAATTTTTTGGTAAATTTGTAATTTTTGTAGAATTTTTTTATAGATTTTATATTTTTGTGGCTTTATATATTTTGTGCATATTTGTAGGATTTTTTGGTAAATTTTTGTAGAATTGTTTTATATTTTTGTGGCTTTATATATTTTTTACATATTTGTAGAATGGTTTTATATTTTTGTGGGTTTATATATTTTTTACATATTTGTAGAATTTTTTTATATTTTTGTGGATTTATATTTTTTTTTACATATTTTTTTTTACATATTTGTAGAATTTTTTGGTCAATTTTAGTATTTTTATATTTTTGTAGATTTTTTGTAAATTGTACATTTTTGTAAATTTGTGTTTTAAAATTTTTGTAGATTTTTAAATATTTGTAGCTTTTTTTCTTTCAGCGGGTCTTGCTAGTGAATTTAAAAAAATATATATTATCAATTATAAGTTTTCTAGTATAATGTGGGGGGGAAAAACGGTTAGAAATCTATTTGTTTGATGCTTAACTTCACACTTGAATCCTAACATTCAGAAGTTATATATGCATTGCCTTAATGCAATATATATTGTCATATGGACATTATTTTGTTGATGTTTCATCAGATTTTAGCATTTAGTTCTTAATTATTTTCTACGATATTTAAGCAGCTTAAGGTTGTTTTTCTTGCCAGTCAGATGTTAAAGGTAAAAAATAAAAAAAATAATTCACTCTTACTTCAAAAACGTAGGACTTCTCTGAAAAACTTTCCAACAGAGAAACATATTGGTAAAACTTTGCAATGTTTCAATTGTTAATATTTAACTACACCATGCACTATGAACGATACTTCTAAAGCGTTTATTAATCTTAGTTGATGCTAAATGTTCATTTAAATATTTATAAAAAATTAAGTTGTATTTGTTACATTGATTTACTGATGAACTAACAGTAACAAACAATTGTATTTTTATTAGTTAAGGTTGAGAATGATTTATAAATTATAAATAAAAAGTGAGTTTTCTAAAGTGTTACTTCAATATTTAAAGTGTTAGTGAAAAACTTTGTCCATACAAGGACAGTCAATGCTTCAGTGTTTTTTTTTTTGATCTTATAAAAATATATTTCATTTTCCGAAGCAGAACATCACACAGGTTTGGAACAGGTATGATGACAGCTGATGAAAGACAGAATTTCACTTTATATGAACTATATTTCCTTTATATTTATAGATGTTCCACAGGGCCTAAACATTTCTGTGAATCTGCTTTGAAACACTGTGTGTAAAAAGCACTAAAAGAATCAGAAGCGAACTTTCATCATTTAAAATGGGTTTAATTTGTTAAATAAAATAAAAAATCAACTCCCAATAAAAAAATGAAATGCTACTGGTTCACAATTCTCAAAGTATTTTCTTTACAAATCAAACATGAATATGAGAAAGGAAAGGTTTCTCTGCAGGAGAAATATTTTACAAATTGATCATTTTTTTCCTAAAAAAGGTGTACAAAATAAAATACTAAAACTGTACATATATACATAAATTCAATAGTAAAATTGCATAATCAGCATCATTATTAAATCATTATTTTAAATATTCAGTAATATTCTTGTGCCTGTGTTGATGAGCTCTGTGCAGATCCACGACTAAAGCCCCTAAAACCTACAGATACACTCCTGTAACACACACACACTGCTGGATTTGTTTCATCTTTTGTCTTCTCCAGATGTTAACTGATGGACTGGAGTGCTGTGGATTACTTGTGGATTATTGTGATGTTTTTATCAGCTGTTTGGACTCTCATTCTGACGGCACCCATTCACTGCAGAGCATCCATTGCTGAGACACTGATGCAATGCTACATTTCTACAAATCTGATGAAGAAACAAACTCATCCTAATCTTGTTTGGCCTGAGGGTGAACACATTTACAGCTCATTTTTTCAAATTTTTGCCTGAACTATTCCTTTGAATCAGAGCTGTCAATCACACTGGACCTCGATCATGAAACAAGAAGCATAAGTAACTGAGTTAACAAACAATAACTATTCCTAAACTGACGCAACAATTTATCAATAGTCATCATTGGTTGCCTGGTAACGGTTTGCAAATGTAACAATGTAGCATCAGTCGCATTCGTGGTAACAGAAGGTGAACGAACACAAACAGACGGAGGAGGAGAGAATCTCGGAGACTCTTCACAGTGCGGCTCAGACGGTGTTGCCGTGGCAACAGTGCTGGTGTTGGCGGGAAAGTACGGTCGGATCTATCGGACGACGCGGCGCCTCTTCCCTCTGGCGGGCCGCGTGGATCTGGACAGCACTATCTGCATCACAACACATCAAACACGAGTTAATGCGGCTCAGAGCGTGAGGCGTGCGTGTCGTACATGTGTGTTTGCCTCACCGTCGGCTCCTCGATGATGCTGTCGATGCCACCTCTCTGCAGCCTGAAGAAGAAGAAGAAGAAGAAGAAGAAGAGAGTAAAACACAAAGCACTTCAACCTGTTGAGTTCTGAACAGCTGCACTTACGACTGTTTCCTCTTGCGCCCCCTTCTGGCTCCTGTGTGCACATCTTCAGCCTGAGCGGAGACGGACGAGAAAGAACAAGGGGTATAAACACTAGTACACTGCTCAGTGTGCAGTATGCAGTGCTGTTAATAAGTAACACAGTGTGCATAATAAACATTTCAGACAGTAGTATGCTGTTATTGTCGTCACATGACCTTATTCATCTAGAAAGTATTATTATGCTATTTATTATTAAATAATTATAATCTTACATTATTTTGAAACCTAACAAAATAATTCAAACTTAAGCTTAAAGAAAAGCTATTTAAAGCTAAATAGAAATATATAAATAAATATGACAAGCACAACAAAACTACCAAAACACAAGAAAAAAACTTAATGGTAAATTAAAAAAAACATAGTATTACTAAAACTTAAAGTGAAAAGAAAGCAACTTAAAGCTGAATAGAAATAGTAAAGAAAACTAAAAATGACAAAAGCACATAGCTAAATAGAAATATATATATTTTTTAAAACTAATAAAAATGACAGAAGCACACAAGATGACAAAAAATTTAACTGAAAAAAGCAACTTACAGCTAAATACAAATATTTAAAAAAATATGAAAAGCATAACAAAATTACCAAAACTTAAATTGAAATAAAAAATGTGCTAAATAGAATAGAAAAACTGAATATAATTAAAGCACAACAAAATTACTAAAACTAAAAATGAACATTTCAGACAGTAGTATGCTATTATTGTTGCCACATGGCCTTATTCATCTAGAAAATATTTTATTATTATACTACTTATTATTATATAATAACAATTTTGAAAAATATTTTAAAGATTAGTTTTTTTTTAAATTTAAATTTAAGAATCTAATTTTATCTAATAATTTACTCCAATAACTAATTTTATCTTGTGGTTCTATTGGCAGTTTATGTTTAATTATAATTATTTATGTTTACTCTTTGTTTTAACAATGGTTTTATAAATTACAAATATCAATTTAATTTTTAGTTTTATTTCATTATTGTAAATGAATAAAACCTGAATCAACAGAATATTTCTAAAGTTATTTACATTTATTTTAAAATAAGCAAGACCACTGAATTAAAGACTGGTAAAACTAAATCTACTAAATTTAACTAGGCTCTTAAAATAAAATAAAAAATAATAAAAATGACAAAAGCACGTAACAAAATGATTAAAACTGAAATAACTTGAAGCCAAACAGAAAACTAATAGAAATGATAAAAGCACATAACAAAATTATTAACACTTAAACTGAATGAAAAGTAACTTAAAACAAAATAGAGAAACATAAATAAAAATAAATATATATAAAAATACAAATAAAAGCTTAATGGTAAACAGAAATATGTAAAAACACGAATAAAAATTTCAAGCGCACATAACAATATCACCAAAACTTAGAGTGAAATAAAACATAACTTAAAGCTAAATAGAAATATTTAAAATAATAATAATAAAAATTAAAGCACAACAAAATTACTAAAACTAAAAATGAACATTTCAGACAGTAGTATGCTATTATTGTTGCCACATGGCCTTATTCATCTAGAAAATATTTTATTATTATACTATTTATTATTATATAATAACAATCTTTGAAAAGTCTTTTTAAAGATTCGTTTTTTTTTTATTTAAATTTAAGAATCTAATTTTATCTAATAATTTACTCTAATAACTAATTTTATCTTGTGGTTCTATTGGCAATTTATGTTTAATTATAATTATTTATGTTTACTCTTTGTTTTAACAATGGTTTTATAAATTACAAATATCAATTTAATTTTTAGTTTTATTTCATTATTGTAAATGAATAAAACCTGAATCAACAGAATATTTCTAAAGTTATTTATATTTATTTTAAAATAAGCAAGACCACTGAATTAAAGACTGGTAAAACTAAATCTACTAAATTTAACTAGGCTCTTAAAATAAAATAAAAAATAATAAAAATGACAAAAGCACGTAACAAAATGATTAAAACTGAAATAACTTGAAGCCAAACAGAAAACTAATAGAAATGATAAAAGCACATAACAAAATTATTAACACTTAAACTGAATGAAAAGTAACTTAAAACAAAATAGAGAAACATAAATAAAAATAAATATATATAAAAATACAAATAAAAGCTTAATGGTAAACAGAAATATGTAAAAACACGAATAAAAATTTCAAGCGCACATAACAATATCACCAAAACTTAGAGTGAAATAAAACATAACTTAAAGCTAAATAGAAATATTTAAAATAATAATAATAAAAATTAAAGCACAACAAAATTACTAAAACTTAAACGGAAATAAAAATATTTTAAAGCTAAACAGAAATATTAAAAGACTAACCATAACCTTAACTAAAACATAAACATAAATAAAAAAAAATTCAAAGCTAAATAGAAAAGTGAAAATAAAAATGACAAAAGCACATAAGACTAAAACTTAAGCTGAAAGAAAAGCAACTTAAATCTAAATAGAAATATTTAAATCGAAAACTACTAAAAATGACAAAAGCGCATAAAATGACGAACTTAAAAATAATTCAAAGCTAAATAGAAATTTAAAAAAGACAAAAAGCATGACAACTACTAAAACTTAAAAACAACAAAGCTAAATAGAAACATTAATAAAATAAAAATGACAAGCACACAACAAAATGACAAAAAAATTTAACTGAAATAAAAAACAGCTAAATAGAAATATTTAAAAGACTAATAAAAATGATATAAACTCATAACTAAATAACTAAAAATGAAAATAAAAGTAACAGCTAAATAGAAACATTAAAAAAATAAAAATGACAAGCACATAACAAAATGACAAAAAAATTAAACTTAAATATTTCTATTTAGCTGTTTTTTATTTCAAAGACTAATAAAACTCATTGCAAAATGACTAAAAATGAAATGTAAATAAAAGTAACACAGCTAAACAGAAAACAAATGTAAGAAATTGAAATAAAAACTTATTAAGAATAAAAAAATTCTACTTTATCTATTTATCTTCTTTTATTTAAAAAAAAAAAACTAGCAGCTTTCTATTTTTTCTATTCCATCTACTTGTTTTTCTTTGTGTGTGTGTGTGTGTGTATAATATATATATATATATATATATACACCTTGCTACGTGTACTGCGTTAGGCTAACCGAGACTTGTCATTTGCACTTATATATTATTGCTCTTTTGTTAGTTTTGACTGCATTTATTCTCTATATAACACCGTTCTAGTGGTTTTTGGATATTTTAATTAAAAAATCGTGCATATCGTGCCTTTAATTCAAATTTAATATTTTGCCACGATTAAATTTTTTATAGATTGAGGAATCACGAATTTGAATAGAAATATCACCAAACGTTAGAATTAGACTCTTTGACAGTATGCCAATGATAACAGTAAAGAGAAATGAATGATCCGACCGCATGTCGGAACCGTTCTGTGAAGCACCAGAAGGAGGTGCGGTTCACACTGAATGCGCTTTTGTGTTGATAAAGATGCGACGCAGGCAGTGGAATAGGAAAACATGCAGGAAGATGGAGTTGAGCTTCGTTTAACTTGAGCGCTGTGTTTTTAGAAAGCCGTTTCATGCAAGAGATGCGAGCGCAACAGTCAAACGCGTCCATAAAAGCAGTGGCAAAGCAGCGTAATCTAATAAAAACCTGTACAGAACCACTACTGTATGTCTGATATTTCATGTTTGCATCACGGTGACAGGCTGAAAGCTGCTGTTCAATGTTTTTACAGAACATTTATAGTTAATTATAGTCTACTGCTGTTTTACCTTCAGTCATTTTGAATTTGAATTACCTTGACTTCTGAGATTTAAAAAAAAAAAATTTTCCTTGTATTATTTCTGAACATCTAATATGTTTAAGACAAGTTTGTAAGATGTAGTTGTAGTTCATGCATCTTTTCTGCAAAGATATTTAACAAGCGATTTGTTTAACATTTGCATCATGTGTGGTGCACTTGAAATAGAAATTTCTTTAACTAGAGGATTAGTAAAGAAAAAATAGCTTGAATCATGTTGTAGTTACATTTTCAAGTTGATTAGTTAAAAATCGAGAATCGGTCAAAAGTTCTGGGAGGGAAAAAAAAAATATCGAGATTTTATTTTTTGCCATATCGCCCACCCTTAATTAGTAGACGATCAAATATCATGTCACAATAGTTTGTATGCCTGTCAATCTATTAAAAATTTTAATTGAATTAATTACATGACGTGCCAATTAATTGATTTAATATTAAATCGCACATTTGGGCTGAGAAATGACCTGCCAAAAGATCAAAGTCATTATAGTGTTCAATGAGAAAAGCATTGAATAGACTACAATAGATTACAAAAATAGTTTTAGAAAGAAATATTTTTGATTTTACGATTTAACTTATAAGGCCATAACACTGTTTTCAGAAGCTGCATTTGAAGTGTTGTAAATAAAATAAATGCATTTACACTGCAATTAGAATCATAATGCTGTGAGATTAATGGTTTTAATGTAATATTGAAATATACATTTTTTTTGTCTAAAAGTCAGCGAATCATTCATTCAAACGATTCATTCAAACAGCTGATTCACTCAGAAATGAATCAAGTGACTCTAACCCCTTGTCCAAATACCCACACTTGTGGTCTTGGCCACTTGAGAGCGCGTGCGCGCGACAGGAAGTAAGTGCGCAAGACTGTCCCAGGTCTTCAGAAAAACCAGAGCGCAGTGCCCTTAACGCACACTAAATCCACACTATCTCGAATACCGCTCCGGAGCGCTATTCGAGGCTTAGTGTATCCCATCATGCATCATGTTCTGGAAATAAATCATGAGACTTTTTGCCAAGATCGCGAGAGGTCAGGGAAACCTTTCCAATGTAAGTTAAATATGAATAATAATTAGATATTACATATAATTTGGTAGAAAAACAGTGTTTTTACGTTTTATTGGTGTAAAGATGAGTAGTGGTGATATTTATTTTGTACAACATTTGCAACTGCTTTTTATCACTTAATTAGAAGCACCACAAATTAAAATTATGTCATGTTATAGGGACTACTGAATAGACATTTAGTTGATTTTAAAATGCAAAGTATTTAAAATTAAAATTAAAATTAAAATAAAGCTATGTAAACACTTGCATTTTTACAACACTACAAGTGTGTCCCATCAGGTAATTAAAAGTTCTACACACATTTGTGGTCTTCATGCTCACTTGAACACTTGGGCCAAATACAGGAAATACGTCATATAAGTAGTCAAGTGGTCAAGTGCAAAGACCGCAAGTGTGGGTATTTGGACAAGGCATATGAACAAGTCACTGAATCACTGAGTCATTCAAAAACACAGATTCATTCAGTAATGAATCATCGCTGTGTTATTCAGTTCTGCTGTGGCTTTGACTGGAACAATTTTCATTGGTGAAATTGAACAAAATAGAAAATACTAACAGTATTGTGTCTAAAATGTAACAATATTAACTTCTTGTTTATTGAACTGTATTAAATCAATATCACATTTGCAATCGTGCAGATATTGGGGAAAACAGCACTCTTGCTGGTGTGATATTGCTAAACTCTATCATATGATAGAAATATAAGAGGGTCATTTATTTTTTGCCCTCATATCTTGATTTTAGGCTCACAGGCTTCATCACACAGTCAGTCGGTCGTCCTGCATCATGTTCATCAGCAACTGCATCAATGTAAGATGACGGACAGGATTAACGTTAATGATAAGATGTTTTGATTCAAATGTCTTTTTTCCAGTCCATTGTTTGAGAACAATGTGTGAAACATTAAATGAGGATAATGACAAAAACAAAGCATGAAGAAAACAAGGTTTTGAAACCCAGTGTCTTCCAGACTAAGTTCTCGGTAAGGCAATGACATCTTCTCAATTATGTTACTCAAAACGGCAGAAACACTGTGACAGTACAACAGTACAGTCAGAAGCTTTTCAATCTACAATTTACCATGGATTTACTGTAGTAACACTAATGTTGTGGCAGAAATGTGGGATATTCATATCAAATTGTATTAGATTATTAATGTAGACATGTATTAAAGGAGTAATGGAATATAATTATAGTATTTTTGTAATTAAGCTATAGCATTTGTGCATTTATTTTTAACTTTTTCACATTTTTAATGCAAACACAAAGTACATTATCACTGAAGTCCCTATCAGAAGAAACAAAAGCCCTCTTATGCTGTATAATGGTTAGAGACTTGAGGTTATTGTAAAGTCACACCAATTGAAAGAAGAACGTACTATACATTTTTATAATTATAGTTATTCCAAAGAAAGGCACATTTAAAATAGGTAACACTTTACTTAAAACCTTTATGTATAATGCATTATAAAGGGTTATTAAGGGGGTATGATGCATTATAATTATTCATAATGTGCATTGTAATACATTATATCTTGTCGTAAATAATTATAACCGCATATGAAAGGCATAATGTAACAATGAATTGATAAGTGTTATAATGTATTAACTGTAGTTACAATTATTCACGAGATTGCACAATGCATTATAAGGTGTATTACAAGGCATAATTAATGCATTAAAACTACTTTTATAATGCATTATGCATAAAGGCTTGAAGTAAAGTGTTAAAGTGTTTTCATTGACAAACTGATCCACTTACCAAGAACCCCAGGGGCGAGTAGAGGCGGTAGGAAATGAGGTGTCTGGGTGTTGTTCTTGTCCTGCTCAGCCAGAGGGTCACACACTTCCGGCCCCGTGCTGGACACCAGAGGGCCGCAGGACACCGAGGTAGAAACTAGAGCAGGGCTGGACAGAGTCCCCTACAGCCACACAGATTCATATATGTATTGCACAAGATGCATGTACTCGGATCTCAAAACAATGTTCCAAAGGCACAACCCGTAAAACAAGGACTCCCAACCTTTATCAGGTGAACTTTCCTGATATTTGACTCCTGTAATTTAGCACTGGCAATTCTGCATTGACATTCTGAGTGTAAAAATGTCTCCAAAATTCAAAGAAAATTTTTTATTTCACATAAATAAAATAAAGCCTATTTTTATTAAAGGCATAGTTCACCCAAAAATTGTTCACCCTCATGTCATTCCAAATCCATAAGACTTTGGTTCATTTTCAAAACACAAATCAAGATATTTTTCTGTCCGCTGAAAACCCAAGTAACTAAAATAGGTTATGAGTTTGGAACAACATAAGGGTGAGTAAATGGTGACTATTTAGATTTTTGGGTGAACTATCCCTTTAGCATTAAGACTTTTTGCAATGTGAGATTAATTTCATGACAATTGACCACATTTTCAAAACAAATTCTCAATGAAGTGCAAAAAAAAAAAAAAACACTTGCATGCACCAGACAAAATGACTTAGAAATTACAATATAAATAATATTTAATTACAGTAAATGCATTATAGTAGGAGGCTGAAAATGTGGAGACTGGGAGTTTAAATGCGCATAACTGTCATGAAAATAATACCACAATTAGAAGAATATAATGTCCAATCCTTTTGATTTTGAGGTTAACCCCAACCCTGACATTTATTTTTCCAGTTTTTATGAAATTGACCATTGTATTAAAATTGCACAAATCCATCATTAACCACTAGGGGAGAACATCTGGTTGGAAAGCCCTGTCATTGTAAACAGATGCATCAATTGGAAGCATGCAGACTGTATGTGCACATGTAGCGAAGCATGCAACTGGTGCGCGACTGTGCGTGTACCTGAGAATGAGGCGGGGGGGATGGTGCGTGGTTGGGTAGGGGTTCTGTCTGGGCAAGAGCTGCGGCCAGCAGAGCAGGGTTGAGGGACAAGAAGGCGTGAGGGGGTGGAGTGAGGGAGGCGGAAAGAAGTAGCGACTGGCCGTCTGCACTGGGCGCTAGAGTTTGAAGAGCCTCCAGGAGCCCCGGCCCCATCAGGACCGAGTCCAGCAGAGCGGGGGTCTTCTCCAGGGACACTCCGTCCGCAAAGACCTGCTGCGGTGGCGTAGGAAGCTCCAGGTTGAGCGCTGGTAGTGGCATCATGGCAGCCGGATTCTGGCCAAGCAGCAACGAAGCCATGAGGAGGGCTTGAAGCCCAGGCGGTTTTTCACCACCTTCCAGCCCTGCAACAGGGGGCAGCGGTGCAGCAGAACCTGGCGGATTTAACAGGCTCACGAGGTTGAGAGGAAGCTCGCCCTGGTTTAGGACATTGAGAGGAGAGCCCTGGTTTAGGATGGCACTGGCTGGCTGTTGATGCTGGGCTTGGTTGCCGCCGGGCACAGAAGGTTGGCTGCCCGTCCAGAACCCTAAAGGCAGGGAGCCAAGGAAGGGCGGCAGCAGGGAAGGCAGACCGGCGTTGGAGGAAAGAAGCTGGAGGAGCTGTTCTTGGGACATGAAGGGAAAAGCCTCTGCAAGGGAAACAGCGGGGTCGGTTGAGGGATTAGAAAGGTCGGAAGAGGGGGCATTGGGCAGAGAGAGGCTGTGGTCGGGCTCACAGCCACCCAGCAATCTTGTGTCTGAGTCCGGCTGATCCATCGTCTCTACAGGACCTGCCGAGAAAATACAAGTGTAAAACAGACCACCTAAACAACATTTCATGTATAAATGCTCCAAAAAACACAAGATAAGAAGTCTCACCTTTACTTTCCACAGCTTGGTTGTGGTTTGACTGGTTAATTTGGTAGGTACTGTGGTCAGGACAAGTCTCTGTTGTTTTGGATCCACAACCTTTGTCCAGGAATGAGGGAAAGCATGTTGAGGACATCTGGTTCATCATGCTCAGAATTGAACTGTTGAGGTCCGACGTTGTGCCCGTGTAGGGCTGGCTCAAGTTCAGAATGGTGTTATTGGAGGTTGTTTTGAGGTTCATTGTTGTCTCGTCACCCATCAAAGGAAAGGGTTGGGATGGGGGTTGCTGGATAGGAGGTTCTGGCATGGGCACTGTGCTTTGGGGTTGAGGTTGCGGGGTGGGGTTGAGTAAACGTAATGTGGACTGCACGTTGCACTGGGGCGTCTGTGGAGTGATTGGTCTCGGTGAAGAGGGCAACGTGTTTGTGTGCCTGTTGCCAGGCATGGCAGTGGCGCCGCTGGATTGCTGGGTTGCGCTTTGCATGCTAAGAAGCTGAAGCAGGGCGGAAAGGGGCTGGGATGAAGATGGGGAGGAAAGTGGGAGGGAATTAGCAAGTCCTGGCTTCCTGCCTTCCTCCGAATCCTGCAACCTGGAGGCATTCGGAAGAGCGACAGGTAGCCGGTAGTTGTCTAAGTGAGGTACAGGAGGAAAAGGTGGCAAAAGGCATGGGGAGATAAGCAGAGGCGGCCCGGAGAGATCTCCTGCAGTCAGACCTAACTGCGAGTCTTTGAGCATGCCCAAAACGGTGGGCGAGCGTCTCTGCCGTTTGCGCCGCAAATTTTTCTTAGCGACAGCAGGGGAAGCCGGGGAAAGGGAAGGGGAGTGCGGAAGCAACAGGGCGGTCAGGGACTGTGTTCTGGCAGAAGTTGGGTGGACGCTACTGTTTAAAGTGCTAATCAATACCTTTGACTGCTGTTCCTTGTCCAAGCCCGTAAGAGGGAGTGCGGCCAGCGCATCGGCTGCATTGAGCTGGGTTTTCTGGTTGGCCAGCTGGGCTTTGGCGGCCGCAGAGAGGAGGCTGCTGGCCGGGAAGGAGTTATTGATGTGGCCCTTTTGCTGGCTCTTCTGTTGGTTGAGAATCTGTCCTAGTGGAAGGCCAAGCAGTCCTGGGGCTTGAGCAGAACTCACTCCGTTCCTCTTGCCGCCTGCGTTGGGATGCACCAACGACAGGGCTTGTGACATCTGATGGTTGCTTTGGTTGCTAGAATTAGCACTGGAGCTTGTGTTGGAGGTACTACAGTCTTTGTAGTGCTGCAGTATGCCCTCCAAGCGACTACATGGACTGGAAGGCGCAAGAGGAAGCTTGGGAGAGGAGCACGGCATGGTGGGCTGCAACGGTTTGCCCCCCTGAATGAAGACGGACCCTTGGGCCACGTGTTCTGAGAGCGAGGACGTCGAAGAGTGGCGAGAGCGTTGGTGGGGTGAGAAAGTGTCCAAGGTACGTGAGGGTGACAGAGGAGAGGGCGACTTAACACTTGCTCCCTGGGAGTGTGGCGGAGCTGCTCGACCACTCAGCGCAAAGGATGAAGACGGGGATAAGGAATAGGAACTGGAGGGGTCTGGAGGATGCATATGCGTGTGTACACCAGGTTTAACACTGTTAGGAGAAGTGGGGCTGTGCACTGTCCTTTGCGGTGGATGAGGGCTCCACTGCTGTTTCGCGTAACCAGGCATGCAGCCCACTGGCGTTTGAGGTTTCTTTAAAGGTGAACCCTGTTCTAGAGGCCGAGAAATAGAGGCAAGGCTAACAGAACCATTTTGCACAACAGCACGGGGAGAGGACAGAGGAAAGCCAATGTTGGATTTGGGTTGGTTGTGTCTTTGCTGAGGGTAAGTGCAGTGGGTGCCGTCTCCATGAGCCACCATTGATCCTCTCAGCTCTCTGCCATCCACTGAGCATACAACACCTCCTTAAACAAACAATCAGACAATACAACTCACCTTACTGAAGAAAGCTGGACTTAAATACAGGTGCCTATAAAAAGCATTTTCCCCCCAAAAATCCAAATCTAAGTTGTCTAATAAACATGGCATTGCATATTATGAATGTTGTTGGCTCTTTGATAAACTGCTTTGGTTCCTCTTTTGTAAGTTGCTTTGGATGAAAGCATCTGCTAAATGCATAAATGCAAATGTTTATTTTAGGACTTTAACACTGAATCATAGAGGGTTGGCTTTTATGACACTGAACAACAGAAAAAATATTCAGATTTCAACATGAAAAATCACTATTTCAAATTAGGTTTCAAGACTAACCTAATTTCTTTAAACTAAACTTAATTTTGGTCTCAGACTACAGAACCTTCTTCCAGTTGGCTTCAATGTCTCAGACAAACTGTAGCTGAGATGTCATATGACATCTTTTAACAGTGACTTTCTTTTTGCAAATCTTCTATAAAGTTGTGACTAGTGGAACAACAAAGCAACAGTTGATCAATGACACATTTTTAAGCCCACTGTGATTCAAATATGGAAAAACTCCAAGGGGGTGAATACTTTCATAGGCACTGCATATCACACTCTGATCTGGCTAGTAATGTTTTTAAAAAAAGGAAACATGGTGGTTGCAGTTTAGTTTACAAGTTAAATAGACTGAAATTACAGTGAACTGGATACTTAAGACAAACTATGAGTGACTGCATATTTTGGTCAAATGTAATAATTTGAATAAGTAATATTTGGACACAAGATGTAGATCATATTTTTCACTCCAAGAGAACAGCAGTGGTCACATACTGTAATTTACTTTAAGACAAGCTGTTAAAGGAATGTTCTGGGTTCAATAAATGTTAAGCTGCATGAAGAATATCTGTGACATGCTGTCGATTGCTACAGACAAATATTGCAACTTGTCCCTCAGTTTGTAAAAATAAGTCAAAAATGTGTTAACAGGAAAGCACTTACAATTACAGTATATGAAGAGGTTTAAATGCTGGAATAAATATTAATATACACACCATTTTGAATATATTAAAACTGAATTTTTGATTAGTAATATGCATTTAAGAACTTCATTTGGACAACTTTAAAGGCGATTTTTTTAAATTATTTTTTTTGCACCCTCAGATTCCAGATTTTCAAATAGTTGTATCTCAGACAAATATTGTCCTATCCTAACAAACCATACAGCAATGGAAAGCTTATTTATTCAGCTTTCAGATGACGTATAAATCTCAATTTCGAAAAATTGACCCTTATGACTGGTTTTGTGGTCCAGGGTCACATATGAGGAAACAGTTATCTTTGTGGGGAAATATAAGTAAACTTGACTTGATTACTAAATTTCTATTGCACGCACCACATAATCGACCATGATAGCTTCAATCAATTATTAATCGATTGTCGATTAATCATTAGCATCCCTAATATATACAGTATATAAATATATATATATATATATATACATAATTCAACACGTCATGACAGCATGTCACAGAACCTGGAATATTCCTTCTAAAAAGTCATCGTGTTGGAATAATGTGTGCATTAAGATGCAATACCTGTGGCTTGAGCCGACGAGGGAAGATGGGAGGGCTGCATGCTTTGGCATAACGCCGCCATGGCATCAACTTTCCTGCGATGGTTACAGAGTTTGGTCATGTCTTCCTCTATTTTCCCTGACTGATGACCAGGAGCTTGGACCACCGCAGCAGGGTCAAAATTAAAGACCTGTATGAATTTAAAAAGTCACTTTTTTTTTTAAATGCATGCAATAAAGTTAATGTTTAAAATTGCATATTATCATACAACTCTTATTAATTCTGCAGTATGCAATGTTTATACAGTACACAGTAAGCAAGCTTTCTGTATGCATGGAATACTTGGATGACATTTGCCAAAAAGAGCAAAGAAGACACTGCGTGTGCATTTTGCAAAGCAGTGCACTCAACTTGACAAAATAAAACAAATAAACCAGTATTAATCATATAGGACTTTAAAAGTCTACTTAAAATAATCAGATGTCTGAGATAATAATTGGACGCTGATAGCTAAATAAAACATGCAGCATATCAACAAGGATTCATATCAGTGTTTCACATGTTATTAATAAAGTACAGTCAGAAGTAGGCTAGTATTTAATTCCAAACATAGCTGCAAACTATAATGCCTAATGAATTCTCTATCATGAATGAGAAGGCTTCGGCACTCAATGTTGATCTCACCTTTAGGCCTGTCACGATAACAACTTTTTGTTGTGCGATATATTGCCCCAGAAATAATTGCGATAAGCGATGTTATTGTCATTTTAAAGACCATTTTATGCCACTGAATATATAATCATAATGTAACAGCATAATAACGCAAGAAGGCCTACACACGTCTAAATGACAACAAACTTTTAGTTTTTAAGAATATTTAGATCATGCAAATTAAGTTTCAAAATATTAGATACCTTAAAAAAACTGAATAAATATTAAATAAACATTTTCTAACAAAAAGTGCAAAGTAACAAGTACAAAGAAAGAAAAATGCACAAAGAACTTGTATGGAGATTTTTCCATCTACAGATTTATCCCTGACCTTCTTTTCTCTGTAAATTAAGGGTGCACACTATTGCTGAAAAACACAATCACTACTCAGCAGTCAGATGTCCGTATGCACAAAGACACAGATCCCTAAACAAGATCATATCTGCAAATGAAACTTTTTTAGTAGAATAATTTTTTTAAATTTGAACTAGCACCTCATGACGACACCACGTTATGTACGAGAAGCTGCAAAAAACACAGGCGCAAGTGGAATGTACAAAACATGGTGACATTAATTTTTAAGTAAATATAATGGGCGATATATTGCGTCACCAAAAATTATTGAGGTCATGTACATATATTGCGCAATACTGATTATTGCGACAGGCCTACTTTCAGCTCAGAGGAAGTTAGTCAATGGTATATGCATCATTGCAACAGAATTCCCTGCCCACTCCCACGAAACACAGCAAATGACGTAACAGAATCTTCCTACGCTCTCAAACTACTCATATGTTTGTGTGTACATGTATATTTTGCAATAAACATAAAATCTGCTATTTCTATAAACCTAATCAACATCTTTAAATAGTTGTATATTTATCCGTCATATTTATTTTGATTCTCATTCTCAATGCTTGTACTCATTCGCAATGGTTTGTGGTTCTTTCCTTCCTATAAGTCGTTAAGTACATAGTCTTGCACTTTTATGCTTCTCTCTGACTTTCAAATACATTTTTGCTTCAAATTAGAATTTGTAATGTTTGATTCACCTTATACCTCTTTAACTCTTTGACTTTTTTAAAATACCTATAGGAGACATGAATGGGAAATACTTCCGGAAGCAAGGCCCCTGAAAAAGTGAACTCTACAGCACAAGCATTTTAAGGGGAAAAGCTCAGGAATCAGATAAAGTATTAAAACCACACACATATAGAGGTAGATTTCTCATCATATTCACTGAATATGGATCAGCCTGCTAGTACTGAACATGGACAGTCAAATGAAAATGTATTCTGAGTGTGTGTGGCTGTAGCAGCAATGCTTTAAAGGCGACACATTTAAAGACTAGTCAACCGTTGTGACCGATTCCTAATGATATCATTAGATCACATTACTTTTCCCCTCTTGTTGTTTATGCCAGCAGAAACGCCATTTCAAAGGTTGAGAAAGTTGATAAATAATTATGAAAACAAAGATGATGAATAATCTACAACAAGAGTAAAAAGGGTCAAATTTATTTTCATGTTGTCAAACTGCAAATGCTCAAATCTATTCCAAAGGACACAAACAGCAGAGGTCAGCTGTAGCAGAGAGGTTCAGACGGCTGGCACACAGTCTGAGCCATCAGAAGCACTCCAAAAGCCTCTCAATCAGTAGAAAATATGGTTAACACCCGGTCATGCATGCAAAAAAAAACCCGTCATGTACCGTGAAACCGGTATAATTCCGAAAAATACCGTGATATACATTTTTGGTCATACCGCCCAGCACTAGGTCATGTACATATATTGCACGATAAGTCGATATATTGATTATTGCGACAGGCCTACTCACCTTATTTGGGACTAGCGGGCACTCGAGACCACACTTACATGTGCCGTCTGTCCGCAGATACACCCTCAACTCATCCACAGATCGAAGGACTGTACCACTTGGGCTGAAGAAGAAATAGACAAAGACTGATATGTTTGACAGCTCTTTTTACACTTGGTTTGATTGTTTGGTTCGAAACAGACTTCGGTTCCAACCTCTTCCCCTGCAGACATCAATACAACTGACATGAATACAAGCAGCAGGTGACAAGCTTCATTGTTTTTATTCATGATTTCATCATACTAAAACTTGAGCACAGAATGGCATTTGTGTGTTTGCTGGTTCTTACTCTCTTTGCATCATTTGAAATGCTGTGCACTGACAGCAACGTCAGCAGAGAGTAAGACTAGTATGCATTATACTATATTCTATACACTAATTCTAATAGAGTGTATTAATGAAATAAATTCCACTATGGAGAAAATGAATGGGATTTTTACTTTCAGACTGTTACACTCTAAAGTTCCGGTCACACCAAGGAATCACTTTCAAAACTACTTTTTCCAGCTGATGAACAATAAAAACATTGACAGCCAATCAGAATCCACTTTAAAGAGCTCGAGCATTTAAAGCAACAGACAACAAAACTGAAGCGTGCGAATATATAACAAACAGAATGTTATGGAGCGTTGGTACGGATGCTAATACGGTCTAATATAGTTAGTTGTTCTAGGTGTGAATGGGTGTTTAATTCATTTTCAGATTGCTGACACCAGACCAGTTTGGAGCACCGTTTCCACATTAACCTGTCTGCACCGGAAGCCCTAGTGTGAATGCTAAACGCACTCGCATGCGTGAGAGCAAAGTTTGCTTGGGTGAAGCAACTTGAAAAATGTTCCTTATGTACCTTTTAGTAGCAACACTGTTCAGATTTGATCAGAACAGCAATTATGAATGACAAAAAGTAAGGTGTGGACGTACCTGATGTAAGATACAGCCCCAGCTTCCATCTTCCTCTGCCAGCCAACCGGGATCTGAGCGATGAGAGTCGTACCTCCATCTTTTTCTCCTGCTGCACTCTCACTGCCCCCCGTCATTTTCTGCTCGCACACATCCAGCTCCTAAAGACACAAACCACTTACAATTCAGCTTCAAACCAGATTTGATGAACCAGATTCGGCTTCAAACCAGATTTGATGAACCAGATTCGGCTTCAAACCAGATTTGATGAACCAGATTCGGCTTCAAACCAGGTTTGATGAACCAGATTCGGCTTCAAACCAGGTTTGATGAACCAGATTCGGCTTCAAACCAGATTTGATGAACCAGATTCGGTTTCAAACCAGATTTGATGAACCAGATTCGGTTTCAAACCTGATTTGATGAACCAGATTCAGTTTCAAACTAGATTGAGATTCAAACCAGATTTGACGAACAAGGTTCAGTTTCTAGCCACATTAGATGAACCAGATTCGGTTTCAAACCTGATTTGATGAACCAGATTCAGTTTCAAACTAGATTGAGATTCAAACCAGATTTGACGAACAAGGTTCAGTTTCTAGCCACATTAGATGAACCAGATTCGGTTTCAAACCTGATTTGATGAACCAGATTCAGTTTCAAACTAGATTGAGATTCAAACCAGATTTGACGAACAAGGTTCAGTTTCTAGCCACATTAGATGAACCAGATTCGGTTTCAAACCTGATTTGATGAACCAGATTCAGTTTCAAACAAGATTTAAACCAGATTCAGTTTCAAACCAGATTTGATTAACCAAATTCAGTTTCAAACCAGATTGAGATTCAAACCAGATTTGATGACCCAGATTTAGATTCAAACCAGATTCCGTTTCAAACAAGATTGAGATTCAAACCAGATTTGATGACCCAGATTCAGTTTCTAACTACATTTGATGAACCAGTTTCAGATTCAAACCAGATTTGATTAACTAGATTCAGTTTCAAACCAGATCTGATTAACCAGATTCAGTTTCAAACCAGATTTGACTCAAACTTCACACCTATTTTCAGTTGGAAAATATGTTCACACTGCATCTAGGCTAAATACAGTTGTCACTCCACTTCTGAGCTTTTAATCTGTGACTATTCTGGATTTCGTATACATTCATAAAGTACAGATGTCATCATGTAGTGACAACTACATTTACATTAAATCAGTGGAGTGCGTACATTTTAGTTTGGTTAGAAAAAAGACAACAAACTAGGTAAAATGTTGGCAGAAAAACCAAAACGCACCATGGGTTCATGTGCATTCTTTACATTTAATAAATGCATTTGTCACTCCAAAAACTTTGCAGTACGTACGATGTTACAACATTCTGCAACTTAGGGTGGCACTTTTGCTGTACCTTTTCATTTTTATACAGCCTTGGTCAGCACCAATTGTGAAAGACACTCTTTGGAGGACGTTTACACAGCATTAACGAAGCACAAAGCAATACAACAAATTGACACGCAATCCTCTCCGGTCCTCTCAAACGGACTGGGATGCTTCTATGGAACTCTCCAGAAGCTGACAATCTGAAAATATAAAGAGAAAAACATATTTCAGGTGGCATCGACATAGCATGAGTAAAGAATATAAACGGTTTATAACTACTTTCAACACAAATATGGGAAAAATGATCCATAAAAATAGGAATTTCGACTATATTGATATATAAGGTACTATTTGATCACCATATTCATGTGCCATGGGATCTGGAACTAAATACCATGGTACTAGTAGGGTACAAGTCTAAAAACAAGGTACTTTTTGTCAGTGTCCAACTCTGACATATGATTGACAGTAGAGTGAAAGTGACAGTTGAAACTTATACTCAGCGCGCCAACTCAAAAATTCAAATTTGAGTTATCGAGATTATGTCACCGCCTAAAACCATATCATTTTAACGGTTTTTATTCTGGCTTAAAGGCGGGTGATTGTGAAGCGGCTAACGCTCCGGCTATGACTGGAGCAGAGAGTTAAAGAATAAACAAACCACCACCAATAAAAGTACGCAAAGTTTCGGGGAAACTAGAACTTGAATACGAAAAGAAAATAGGAATGTAACGTTACTCCCTTGCGTATCGCGCTGGTACTTTTAAACACTGTAGCGTTACGTCCCGAAGAATAAACAAACGTTGCGTATTGACGGCTAGCTGGCCCATTCTTAAACATCCTATTTGTATTGCAAGCTTACTGGACACGTAATAACACTGCGATTATAACCAACGTATCGGTCTTGATAACACTGTAACGGACGCGTTCTAGTTTGTCGCGTCGCGTAGACGCGCTGTTAGCTTTCTTTAGCTCGCGGGCTAACGTTACGTACCTCTGTGTTTACGAAGTTTCCTGCTTCTTCGGCGCGCTGCACAACGCAGACTGAAGACTGAACAAGCGTCAAGACGGACTTGAGTCGCAAATGTCGCCGTTGCGGGAGCTGTTATTAACGCCGTGTGATTTTTAGCCACATCCCCGCGCACCATCCGAGCCGTCCTGCTTAAAAACAAAGAGCAATAACGCTTGGTTTTATTGCGCCCCGTGCATTGTCGTCCAATTTCGCGTGAATCCTGCTCGGCCGCGGAGCGTGCGATCGCTTCATTCAACGCTTCGGCGCGCTCCTACGCGTCTTTACTGTGTACATATGCGAGCGAGGGATTGATAATGCCTTTGTGATGCTGCTTTCAGTTTATATTCGTTTCCAAGTTCCTATTTTTCCTTAGGATCCCGTGCCAAAAAAAAAAAATCATGGAGTTTTCGTCCGCGCATGCGCAGTCGGTCTGCTGTCGGGTCGGGAATTCCGTACAATTCCATGTCCGCTTGGAGGAGCGCGAGAGCTGCTCGCTGAGAAAAACCAAGCGTGCTTGGGGTTGTTTTAGAATTATGCAATATTTGCATATTGTAAAATAATAGCTGTTATTTCTTTACAGAGAGGATTTTCTTTCAGATGTTCGATATGAATGTGAGAATATGTCAATAAGTTCAAATGATATAAACGTATTGATATGTACCAGTCTCTTCGCAATGGCCATAATTTATATAACATAAAGTCGGTTTTTTTTTTTCTGTGCAGTCGGTAAATGAAAAAAAAATAAAGTTTTTTTTTTTTTATGATCAGCCTCAAACTACTCAAAAATGCCAGTCGGTCCGGTAACCTTAGATGTTCTTGCACTTAATCTGCAAATGCGCAATATTTAATCGAAGTGAGCGGGAGGCGAGAATATCCTGAGAGAAAGATATTTCCGTAAGTCTTGCCATAAAATGATGCTTCCACACACACACACACACGCATGTCTTTATTGGCCTTATTGTGTCAGTTAGCTGAGAAAACAAAAAAATGGTTCGCCCGTATAATTGCAGATAAAACCTACTTAGCGTGGAGGAAAGATGTAGGAAATCATATTCTGAGGAGATGTTTCTATTGTAAAACAGAAATGTGATTCGCTGGCACTATGCGAGTTAGAAATAAAAATCAGATCAACCTCCTACAGCGTTGAAGGCAGGTTAACTCGACAAAGTTTGGGAGTTAGTGAGAGTCAAACCTGTTCGAACTTCAAAGGAATGTCGGGTAAACACAACTTTGGGGAATAAACGCATAACCTGCCAATAGAATTACAGAATTAGAATTAGGCAGCGGGGAGACTACACAGCAACAGCCAACCGATCGTGACGTGTTGGTAGCGTCTCAGCGCGAGCGGTGCCCTGCTCCTGGAAACAGTATTTGAGCTTTCTATTCGCTAACCTCACGCGCATCCCACTTGCGCTGTTGCTAGGCAATACATTGCACGCTTTGCACCATGCAAGCTTAACTACTCAACTCTTGTGTTTGGAAGAGTTTCAGAATACTAACGAGATGAGAGCCATCAGTTGACCGACAGGTCACCACGTGTTTATGCTAATAAAATACATCACTTCAAGCAATTAAACGGTGCAACCTGTTAATTAGCTAAACACCTCACTCCCATCATTTATTCCCAATGATCATACAAGATGAATGGTGAGATCGGAGCAGTATATAACGGGTTCTAAGCATTCAATTAAAGTTAGCCAGGTCTGCCAATGTTGCACTTAATAAAATATATCATTTTAAGCAATTACAACAGTGTGCCGTTGATCACTTCCATCATTTTATTGCATTGATCATCGGTGAAATCTACGCAGTATTTGATTAACAATGGAAGTTGAGAATCACAAAGCCACAACAGCAGTCTTATCTAGGTTATAGGATTATACCCATGTTGGGAAAATACTGTCTTTGCTGCAGATCCACCACTTTCGAGTGCCCTATCTAGGCTTTAAGACCCATGTTGGGAAAATATTTAGGGTGGTTCTCACACACATATCAAAACCTATTCTAAAGCCATTAAAATGGTGCTACATGTTCTTTATTAAGTAATTACATTGGATAACCAAATGACAGCATTCTGAAAACTGGAATAATGCTTCAAAACATCCACACTTTTGAGTGCCCTATCTAGGCTATAGGATCCATGTTGGGAAAATCTGTCTTTTTAGGGCGATAACATTGGTTCTGATTTAAAACATGGACATTTTACAGTTCACTGCAGTAAAGCATGTCATTTAAAAGCAATTGAAACGTTCTGTCGGCACACTTATGTCTATAATAAATTTGGATAACCAAATGACAGCATTCTGAAAACTGGAATAATGCTTCAAAACATCCACACTTTTGAGTGCCCTAGTGTCTTTTTAGGGCGGTAACATTGGTTCTGATTTAAAACATGGACATTTTACAGTTCACTGCAGTAAAGCATGTCATTTAAAAGCAATTGAAACGTTCTGTCGGCACACTTATGTCTATAATAAATTTGGATAACCAAATGACAGCATTCTGAAAACTAGAATAATGTCTTGAAACCTTCACACTTTAAGTGCAATATATGGGCTATAGGATCCATGTTGGGAAAAATACTACATGGACGCATCTTACTCTGGAAGACTCTTCAAGACTAACCTGTGAACTAAATACTGTCCTTTACCATTTCAACATCACTTTATGGGCTCATTTGGTGATCATAAATAGGTGTGTTGAACAATAACGTGCTATAGCGTAATCATTCGAGTTCTTGAATGGTTTGATGCGGTCTCTGTGTGGTTTATACGGATTGTGAATGTTGACTGGAGTGAAATGTGTGAGGAGCTGGGACTCCTGGAATATCCTCATTCTATAGTGCTCAACTGGATGCATTTGGAAACGGGAAATAATCGCCTCGGGTCACTAGAGAGGTGTTATTAAAGATGAAAAAAGAGCGAACAAATGCATCACACGACGACCGCGGATATTAACGTTGCATATTTTTATAGGCGCATATGCGAACGCAAGCAAAAATGGAAACATTTTTCTACATCCTTATAAGGTAGCTCGCCACTTTTTTTATTTTTAACGAAAGGTTGTTTAATAAAACATGCTGGGGCTCTGCTAGTCTTATCTCCAACCAGAAACCGGTTGCCAACGATTGCATCATTCCTTTCATGTGACTCCCTTACGCCCCAAATTCGTCCTGGCCGTCTTATGACTGCATCACATCTTCAAACTCTCGCGGAGCGAGACAACCAGCAAAGTCATCAAGTCCCGCCCCTCCCGCCTAGCGCGGCTGCTGATTGGATGTCTCTAAGCAGAAGAATTCCGACCGCCTCGCGCGATTGGTCCAAGCCTCCGACCATCTCCTGTCAGTTTCCCATAATCTCTATTAGGTTGCACCTTGAGATCCTCCCCCCAGAGTTCGGTTGGAGTCACTCTATAAATGTCCCCGGGAGTTTCCGAAATCCACACTCGGTGACTTCAACTGAACAATGGTTAACATGAGCTATCGCCAATCTCTACAAAAACACACGCAGACCCTGAATCCGAAACAGCCGAGGAAAAGAAATAATAAAAAGAAAAGGGTGAGTGTCATCGCATGTTTTGGCGACTATCCCGAGCTGTTTTTGGAGTACAGTTGCTCAACTCAAATTTCACGGGAGATTTTCTTTTTTCATTTTAACGTCCGTTTTCTTTATTTAACGCAACACTGTTGCGCTTTATGTTCCTGTTTAATTATATTTACGTTAGAGTCACTTGCTACGAAACTTTACTTCGCGATGACAGCTGTCACTTTCTTACGATCGCGGCAACTTTGTAGCGCACGTTTGATTTGGAACGGTTTTTGTTACATCGCTCGCCAGCGGAGCGCAACTTTGTACACTTCAAGAAAGCAGACGGATGCGGTCGTAATGCACAGCCCGTTGTGTTTTTACATCGCTAAAGTGCTTTAAAAGCGTTATTTCGGCGCGGAGCGCTTGATCTTTGTTTTCTCACTCCTGTACTTTGATTCCATGACGTCATTGGCTCGCTGTCAGTTTCGTAAAGCGCCGCTCCAGATGGGCGCAATTAAAAGAAAATTCGCTTAAACTACTTAAGTGACACAAGCGTTTAATTTTAAGTCGTTTTAAAATAACCGATTTATGATTTAGCCGCTGTTGGAGTAAGCCAGACAACAAATAACCGGCACCACATCCTTAAACGATTTATTGACAGATTAATAATAGAAAAACAATAGTTTTTAGTTATGTCGCTTCACTCCGCATTAAGATTTATGTTTAAAAAAACAATAAACCACAGGAGTGCCTCAGGTCTTTGTGTTAGAGCTGTTTTCATTCTCACGCGGACATCTAAAGTAGCTCGATTGTCCTTCGCTGATCGTATTTATAACTCAGAAATGAGTTCTGGATGTTTTTTCAGCTGAACTTGAACGTCTTGGTGTTGAGAACGAGTCACTGGGTTGTTTTGACTCACGCAGGGGGCGCCATCGAGCACATAATGCGCCTTTGTTTACATAAAAAATACAATGACCTAATTTTAGATTAAAGATTAAAGAATCAATAATCGCTATGGGTCATTTGAATGAACATCTGATCAAGATCCAAAAGTCCTTTATGTTTTTTCATTGTTCTTTATGGCTTGTGTGTTTCTCAGCTGAAATGTGTTTTGCATGAGAATGATTTTTTTTATTTTTTAAATAGTTTTGCAATAGTTTTGGAACCATGACCTGTGGCTTGAGCTGTTCCATGTTTTATTTCTCTAGAATCATTGGGACAATATACCGCCAACAACTCACATTCAAACTTGATTGTCAAGAGACACTTTTGAGGTGAGCATTTTTATAGCTTATACATATATTAATTTAAATACGTTTTAATTTAATAACTAAACGTAATGATTTAAATAAAAAACAACAAACAACACTAAACGGACCAAAAAAATATAATAATAACCAAACATTCTCAATTCATGCATGCACTGTTTCAAAGCTCTGGGATTGTTGTTTGTTGTGCAGTAATGCTGTTTGGCCGCTATGTGTCCTTGTTGCACCGGGTGGCCGAGCAGTCGATCTTAATGTCGCGTATAATAGCGGGTCACCCAGATAAATCAGCTATTCCCAAACCCGCCGGCGCAGGTGAAGCTAGACTCCGCTGATGCACCGAAGCTCCCACTAGACGTGCAGCGCAGTACAGCATACAGAGGTGGTTTTCCACTTCTTTTAGACAGTTTGTCCGTTTTTCAGGTCTGGTGTGCTAGGTGTGGGAGCATATCGTGTTGTGTCTGTGGATAGCGACTGATTGGTGCGATGACTGCGGAGTGGCTGTGCCCCCCTGGCGTGGGGCCGCTGTGTGGTGCAGAGTTGGAGGCGTGGTATGAAGACCTACAGGATATACTGGGCTCCGACGCGGGCGGGGCCAAAGTCACGAGAGCCCCGCCTTGCTCCGAGGTCAGTAACGTCAAACGGCGCTCAACGGTCGCGTCTTGTAGACTTCACAGTTCTAACGGTTTCTCTTGTTATGCAGAAGGAGCCCGAGTTTCTGGATGTGTTGGAGAGCTGCTCGCTCACCTGGTTGACGGAGGGGCAGGTTTGGGGCGACGGGGTGCAACGGGTCACCGATGAACCGCCCGTCGTCCAGTCGCCATCGCGAAAGGATGACCGGAGAGGCGGCGGCGGCGGCGACTCGGAGCACACCTCATCCGGAGGAGACCTGCTTCCGCCAGAGTTCTTCGAGCTCCTCAGCGAGGGCGGCGTCGGGTCGGTGGAGACGATGGTGACCGCCGGGTACCACGTTTCGCATCACGCGCCTCCGTCGCCATCCGCGAGCGAGGAGGAGCTCCCGACGGTCCCAGACACATCGTCATCCTGCTCCTCGGCGTCCTGCTCGCCCTTCCTCAATCGCTCCCCGCCGCCGTCCCCTCCTGCGCGACCGGGAAAGAGAAAGCGGGCCGGCGACAAAGGAGGAGGCGTGCTGTGCTCCCCGTCCCCCGGGAAGAAGAGCCGACGGGAGCGCGAGCATGAGAACGAGAGGAAGGTGCAGGAGCTGACGGATCAGAACGAGCGGCTCAAAGCAGAGATCGAGCGGCTGGGAGAGGAGGTGCAGCGGACGCGCCGGGCACTCATCGAGAGACTCGTCAACACCAGGAGGTGAAGGAGCAACAGGAGGAGCCCAGGGGCCAAAGGGAAACAAACAATTGGCGGAAACTCATCTCGCGGTGACCGTGAAATGCACATGTAGAGGGAGATAAAAGACACGTAGGACGGGGGGGAGAGAGAGGAGGTTCACTGAGCGACTCCCGCCGAGAGAGAAAGAGAAAGTCAAATTAAGCCGTAGAAAAGAAAGAATGTGGAGCCCAACGGAAACACGGACCGAACTCAGCCCGAATGCAAAGTCAAGAAGAAATTTGATAATTGATGTTTTGTTTTTTTATCAGTATTTTAGTACATTTAAATCAGCGTGATACATTTAAATGAACATCCTTTAAAGGCAAATGCTACGACGTGTGTTACAATTTAACACATTATATTACAAATGAATTGAAGAATGAGCAATAAAAATATCAAAAAGCAAATTAAAAAAAATTTTCATAAAGAAAATGAAGCGAGATTTTTGCAGTAAATTAAAATGACTAATGCAATAAATTAAAGGCAAATACTACAATGTATAAATGTTACAATTGAACGAATTGCATTACAAAATAAGATTTGCATTACAGCAATAAAAGCAAATAAGAAATTAGATTTTTCATGAAGAAAATTAAGCCTAATTTAAGGAAAAATCTAAAATGACTAATCCATTTCTTTTAAAAGCAAATGCTAATGTGATGTATTAATGTTACAATTTAACAAATGATATTACAAATTAATAAAAAAATAAAATTTACATTATGGCAATAAAAGTATCAAAAGCAAATAAGAAATTAGATTTTTCATAAAGAAAATGAAGCCTAATTTAAGGAAAAATCAATGTTTTTGCATTAAAATGACTAATACAATTTATAAAAAAACATTTAAATCAGCATAAATTAAATGCAAGTACCTTTATGATGTATAAATGTTACAATTTAATGAATGACATTACGAATAAAGAATAACTTGCATTACAGCAATAAAAATATCAAAAGCAAATAAGAAATTAGATAAATGAAGCCTAATTTTACAAAAGCTTTTTTGCAGTAAATTAAAACGACTTTAATGCAATGTTTTAAACATTTAAACCAGCAAAAATGAAAGACTGTAAAACAAGTACTACTGCTTCTTTACGAATGTTTTTAAAATGAACAAATTAAAGAATGAGATATTTTGCATTACATTAATCAATGCGTGCGATTGTGATTAAAAAAGAATCATAATGCAAAAAATTGTAATGCTACTAAAACCGCCTTTTTTCTTTGCATTCGGGTTGTTTTTGACGGGTTTTGGTCTGATAATAGCACTGTAATGCACCAACGTTTATTAAACTACCCAAAGGTTAATCAACTTTCTGTGTAATTGAAAGCTGATTGTTCATCAGTGCCGAGGAGTCTTGAGGGAATGTAGCAGAGACGACGAGAGAAAAGGCAGAACTGCAATAATAAAGAGAGAAGAAGAGATCTGATTGTATCAGTGACGGTGATATCGCTCGCTCCCCGCCGCCGTCCCCTCCTGCGCGACCGGGAAAGAGAAAGCGGGCCGGCGACAAAGGAGGAGGCGTGCTGTGCTCCCCGTCCCCCGGGAAGAAGAGCCGACGGGAGCGCGAGCATGAGAACGAGAGGTGCAGGAGCTCCCGACTGTCCCGGACACTTCGTCCTGCTCCTCAGCGTCCCGCTCGCCGTCTCCTCCCATCTCCGCCGCTCGCCCGGGAAAGAGAAAACGAGGAGGCGCGCCTTGCTCCCCGTCCCCCGGGAAGAAGAGCCGACGGGAGCGTGAGCATGAGAACGAGAGGAAGGTGCAGGAGCTGACGGATCAGAACGAGCGGCTCAAAGCAGAGATCGAGCGGCTGGGAGAGGAGGTGCAGCGGACGCGCCGGGCACTCATCGAGAGACTCGTCAACACCAGGAGGTGAAGGAGCAACAGGAGGAGCCCAGGGGCCAAAGGGAAACAAACAATTGGCGGAAACTCATCTCGCGGTGACCGTGAAATGCACATGTAGAGGGAGATAAAAGACACGTAGGACGGGGGGGAGAGAGAGGAGGTTCACTGAGCGACTCCCGCCGAGAGAGAAAGAGAAAGTCAAATTAAGCCGTAGAAAAGAAAGAATGTGGAGCCCAACGGAAACACGGACCGAACTCAGCCCGAATGCAAAGTCAAGAAGAAATTTGATAATTGATGTTTTGTTTTTTTATCAGTATTTTAGTACATTTAAATCAGCGTGATACATTTAAATGAACATCCTTTAAAGGCAAATGCTACGACGTGTGTTACAATTTAACACATTATATTACAAATGAATTGAAGAATGAGCAATAAAAATATCAAAAAGCAAATAAAAATAAATTTTCATAAAGAAAATGAAGCGAGATTTTTGCAGTAAATTAAAATGACTAATGCAATAAATTAAAGGCAAATACTACAATGTATAAATGTTACAATTGAACGAATTGCATTACAAAATAAGATTTGCATTACAGCAATAAAAGCAAATAAGAAATTAGATTTTTCATGAAGAAAATTAAGCCTAATTTAAGGAAAAATCTAAAATGACTAATCCATTTCTTTTAAAAGCAAATGCTAATGTGATGTATTAATGTTACAATTTAACAAATGATATTACAAATTAATAAAAAAATAAAATTTACATTATGGCAATAAAAGTATCAAAAGCAAATAAGAAATTAGATTTTTCATAAAGAAAATGAAGCCTAATTTAAGGAAAAATCAATGTTTTTGCATTAAAATGACTAATACAATTTATAAAAAAACATTTAAATCAGCATAAATTAAATGCAAGTACCTTTATGATGTATAAATGTTACAATTTAATGAATGACATTACGAATAAAGAATAACTTGCATTACAGCAATAAAAATATCAAAAGCAAATAAGAAATTAGATAAATGAAGCCTAATTTTACAAAAGCTTTTTTGCAGTAAATTAAAACGACTTTAATGCAATGTTTTAAACATTTAAACCAGCAAAAATGAAAGACTGTAAAACAAGTACTACTGCTTCTTTACGAATGTTTTTAAAATGAACAAATTAAAGAATGAGATATTTTGCATTACATTAATCAATGCGTGCGATTGTGATTAAAAAAGAATCATAATGCAAAAAATTGTAATGCTACTAAAACCGCCTTTTTTCTTTGCATTCGGGTTGTTTTTGACGGGTTTTGGTCTGATAATAGCACTGTAATGCACCAACGTTTATTAAACTACCCAAAGGTTAATCAACTTTCTGTGTAATTGAAAGCTGATTGTTCATCAGTGCCGAGGAGTCTTGAGGGAATGTAGCAGAGACGACGAGAGAAAAGGCAGAACTGCAATAATAAAGAGAGAAGAAGAGATCTGATTGTATCAGTGACGGTGATTGTAGGTGCATTTCATTGTAAGCAGCCAGTTTTAATTCACGTCATGTGTTAACGAAGGGCTTTAACCGTGTAAATTCACCCCTAGTTGACAGAGATTAGTAGCTCAGGACTGTTATAGTGAACGATTGTGAGCGTTTCTCACCATCAACCCGAGGCCTCTAAGAGTGTGTGTGAGTGTGTGTGTGTGTGTTCAGATGACGGGGATATTGCTCTCACTTCCTTCTCTTGAAACTTTTCCAGAATTTTTAGAGCTAGCAGTTTATAACATACTCTCTGCCTCATGCCTATTTTTCTATATGTGTATAATCACGACATGTCATCATTTACCTTATATTGTAGTTTCCTAATCTTACAATAAACGTGCATGCCGAATTACTGTATTAGAGTAGAAACATTTGTATCTGAATTTGATTTAGCCTTACTGAATACGGAATTGTATTACACTCATTTTGTTATTAAAATCTTAAAATGAACTGAGTCTTGAGATTTTTTTTTGTCTTTGTGTTTATTGATTGTGTGAATAAAATATGGTTGTTTCGGAGTAACAAGAAACCGTGAGAAATACATAGATTTTATTGCATTTTAAAAAGATCATTTAACAGACTTCATTGCATTTAAAAAAGGATAGGTTGCATTTTTATAGGAGTGGATGGATAGTGCAGTAAGCCCTGAAAATATTCCTGCATGATGGATTTTTTCCCCTCATGTTCACCTTTTTACTTCTTCTTTCCTTTCTGAGCGGCCGGCTCCGGGTTCTTGCCCTCCGCTAGAGAAAGTTGTTTTTTCAGTTGCAGTAATTTCTCGACTTCATCGTCAATAACAGACTTGTCGGCTTTCTGGGCTTTTAGGCCTCGTAGTTTATTGCCCTGAAACACACACACACACGCGCACACACACACACGCGCACACACACACGCACACACACGCACGCACACACATGCACACACACACACGCACACACACGCACACACACACACAGCAATTCATCACAAACCAGCACTACTAACCGTTAAACACACCTGTATTTAACTAAAGAACACGAGTGGTTAGTGTACAGCTGAATAAAAAAATAAATATCACACCTTCATTTAACTCCATTAATACTTTAATAAAATGAGAAAATATTCTGTCAAAAATCTCAATGTCAGTATGTTCTCAGGTCATGGCACTGTTAAAATATGGAAATAAAATGACTTAAGATTTAATAAAACGAGAGAACAAATTAATTTAAATAAAATGAGATTTTTTAAAATTTTTATTTTAATCTCAATGTCAGTGTGTTCGTGGGTCACTTGGGTTAAAAAACTAATTTATATTAGAAAGTAAAAATATATATTCAATTTCTACATTCATTTTTAGTTTGTAATAATCTGTAATATACATGTATAATATGTAATAAATATATATATACTGTAATTTAATCTGTAATATATATATATATATTTTTTTTTTTATATTTTCATTTTTTGTACAAAACGGGCAGCGTAGGACATTCAAACGGTCCACTAGTATATTATATCATATTGAAGAGCCAAAAAATGAATGCATAAATAGTCATTTCAGTATATTTATTTGACGTGTGTGTGTTCGTACTTGTTCTGCCACTAAAGCCGTCAGCTGTTTGGCTCTCTCTGGATCTGCGTTTACATTCACCGAGGCGTCGTGCACTGCACCAGCGCTGGGTTTGGTCTCTGCAGCGCTGCTCGGAGCCTAGAAACAGAAAAAACAAATATTTCAAATAATGTATCATGTGCATTTTTCAGAATAAAAATAAATGTATTAATTAATTAAAGCCACGCAAATACTACATGTATTTGTCATTCATATGTTTTCATTAAAAAGATAATTTAATAATTATATGAAATAATTTAATTATTAATAAAAAGTACAAAAATGCATGCATTTGTTTTAATTAAAAAAAGATAATTTAATAATAGTATAAAATATATTAATCAAAAATACAAAAAGTACATGCATTTATTTTTTATCTTGAAAATATTTAATAATTATGTGAAATATTTTAATTACTAACAAAAACACATGCA